TGGGGACGGTGCTTGGACAGCCCCAGTCAGACCCTGTTTCCTGCTGTACCCCAGATTCCTGGATGCCCAAGGGACTGCCCCGTGTGCCCTGAGCCTCTCCCAGCCCCTGAGGGGACACCCCAGAATGCTCCAACCTGCCCTGCTCTGGGTCCACATGGGGGGGGTGAAGGGGATCTCCTGTGCAGAGACTCCCAGGAGCCCCCTGAGCCACTGTGCTGGTCATGGGAACAGATACACATGAGGTCACAGAGAGTGGCTTTGCTGCAGGGGTTTATTGATCATTCAGGGGAAATGGCCCAGGGCTGCCAGGGAATCAAGAGGGTCCTCCAGGGATGATCATCTCCTCATGCCACTGGAGAGAGACAGGACACAGGTGTCACCACCACTTCCAGTCCTGAAAGACAGAGCCCAAAATGTCACCCCCTGATGTCCAATGAGACTTGAGAGGGGCCTTGTCCTGACCCCTCTCCCTGCAGGCACTGCTCACCTCAGACATCCAGGGATGCAGCCACACGTTTCTCACGAACAAGCCCCACCACCTTCTCAACCACAGGGGGCTGGGGAGAAAGACAGGCTCAGAGACACACTGGGCTGAACTGGGATGTACTGGGAGCCAGGGGCAAGCAATGGGGTCCTTGGGGAAGGTGCCTCTGGGCAGAAACAGGGTCCAGGAGTTTGTGTGGTCCTGCCCAGGAGCACTGGGGGGTCCTGGAAAAGAGGCACAGCTGGGGAGGGGGTGACCCTGGGGCATCTGGGGGGAGTCCTGTGGTGTCAGGGATTGGAATGCAACAGGGGCCCTCGGGAAGTGGGTTCCTGGGAAAATTCTGGGGGGCAGAATTGTTCTCTGGGCAGGCAGTAGGGTGCACTGGGGTGTGCTGGGTCAGACTGGGGTGGCCGGGAGTGTCATGGCCATGTGAGGCGAGGACCCGACTCAGGCAGAACTCCTGGTACCCACCTGAGCCGTCTTCAGGATCCCAACGTCCCCTAAATCCAGCTGCAGAGAGACCAGGAGCCCTGGCTGGTCACTGGGATGTCCCCGGTGCCAGCGAGGGATGGGGGGACCAAAGTGTCCCCCAGTTCCCAGACTGGATGCCCTCCAATCCCCCCGGCCCACTCACCTCCCGCAGATCATTTTGGGTTCCTGCCAAGAGTCCCTGGGCAAGGAGAGCAAAGGGTTGCTCAGGATTGGCCCCTGTGGGGCTGGGGGAGGGACACGGGTGTCCTCAGCCCCTCCAGCCCGTGGCTGCCCCCCGTCTGAGGGGGAAAATCCCCTCTGCTCCCCCTGCTCCCACTCCACCCAGTTTCACCTCCAACCCCTGTGCCTGCAGGGCCCAGGGTGGAGATGGAGACAAGGAGAGCCAGGGGAATTCAGGGCCTGCAGGGAGGGTGGGGGGAGGCTGGGGGGACCCAAAGATGCTGAACTGGGGTAACTGGGGAGCCCACAGGACTGGGATTGGGGTGCTGAAGGGGCACTGGGGGGGATGCAGGGGAGGGGAAAGGAATTCAAGTGTAGGGACATGGGGACTGCAAGGGAGAGGCTTGGTGGGGACAGGAGGATGATGGAGGAGGACAAAAACAAGGGGACTGGGAGATGGTTGGGAGTAGAGAGTGAGTCAAGGAATGGTCTTGGGAGGTACCAGGGCAGTGGCCTGGGTGAAAGACAAAGGACTGAGGGGAAGGACGGAAAGATAAAGTTTGGGAATGATCAATGGGAGGATGTTTGGGGACCCTGGGTAGGACACACAGGAGATCCTGGGGAGGAGATGCCTGAGGGGACCAAAAAGGATGGGATGGGAGGC